CCCCAAAACCCCAAAACCCCAAAACCCCAAAACCCCAAAACCCCAAAACCCCAAAACCCCTATCTTATATTTATTAATAGGTATTTAACAAATAATAAAAATATTGGAGATGAGTACTCAAGAGACCAATCAGATTGAAAAGCAAGGCGATTTGATCAAGTTCAAGCTATCTGAGCCAGAGTACAACCCTAAAACTTACTTTGGAAGAACTATGAATCTCTTGAAAGTACAGAATCCAGTGTATAGTTTTGCAAAAAGCTCCAAGATTGAAGCTGCACGCAAGATGGTAGAAGAGCACATGGAGCTAGAACAAGAGTATCAGAAGCAAAACAAACCTATGATGGTTACCAAAGAAAGAGCAAATGAACTTAGGAGCGCCAACTATCTTGTAAAGTCATCCATCCATCCGGATACCGGAAAGATCTTGCAACCATGGCAGAGATTCTGTTCCTATGCTCTGATAAACACCCCTTTCCTCTTTGGTATGGTGCTTACTAAGCAGACAACGACTAATATTATCTTCTGGCAGTGGATCAATCAAACCTATAATGCTATATTGAACTATTCCAACAGAAATGCATCTTCTGAAACTGGAATTGCTGGCGTCGGTGCTGCGTACTTTACTGCAGTGACCTCATCTATATACATTGGGTTGAAGGTTAAAAAGATGTTGATGCCTTACTCTAACAAATTCAAAGGACCATCTCAGTTGATCTTCAATTTCATTATTAACTTCACAGCCATGGCTGCTGCTGGTATCCTAAATTCTTTGGTCATGAGATCCGGTGAGTTGAAAGACGGAATTCACCTATTCAATGCCGATGGAGAAGATACAGGTACCTCTCCTAAGGTTGGAAGAGAAGCTGTCATTAAGACTGCCGCTACAAGAATTGGGTTGGCCCTCAGACTCTTTGTACCCACTTTGGTATTCTTTGTTATGGAGAAAAGGAATCTCGTACCTAAGAACAAAATGGGGAAATTCTTTTTGGAAGCGACGGTGTTCTTTGGTAGTATGGTCTTTGTACCGCCGATGTCTTGTGCGGTTTATGAACAATACTGCACTGTCCAGACTAAGGATCTTGAAGAGAAGTTCCATGATCTAAAAGATGCTGAAGGAAAACCCATTACTGAGTTATACTATAACAGAGGACTCTAAATCACTCATATTACGTAGTTAAGTTATGTTTCGGAAAATACATAGGTTAAATCAATTTTATTTCGGCAAAGCGGGGTTTTGGGGTTTTGGGGTTTTGGGGTTTTGGGGTTTTGGGGTTTTGGGGTTTTGGGG